ATAAAATTTCCGGATATTCATTCCGGACTATCACATGATCACCGGAGCAGCAACCTGGTACACATTTTCGGGTTGCTAATTAATAAAGGAGTAATTAATTTAAAGTTTATGTATAACGATTACGATACTTTGAAATAATAAAAGAAATGTAACGGATTTTTCAATATAAGAGTTATCAAACAGTTTTTATTAAGTAAATAAGGTTCTAACAACAAAAATTATATAACATTGAGCAATCGATTCTTCTATTTAACCATTTAAGACATCGAAAACTACTTTATTAAAGGCCCGAAGACCCTGCTTTTATACGTTACAAAGTAATAGGAGATACAATAATCGAATGTCAGATCTTTGAAACTGGCAGTTTCGCTCGCTTATACTATCGCTACTCAGTTTTAGTGATCCACGGTGTTGTTACTAGAGACTATTACAGGATCTGGGTATGGTTATACTAATCCAGGTACAATCATCAATTACAAAAGCGTAAGTATTTACAAATATAGAAAGTTTTATATACAATTATAGGGCTTGTACTGATTCTAAGTTTCACACAGCCCATCGCACTGCCTAGTATCACACCTTCTTTACGTTATCACCGTAACATACTCCTCTCTTACTCCTGAGCTCCTGCGAAGGGTGTTACATCTTCCAACAATGTTTCTACCTCTTGTTCTCTCACTACTCGAGCCTCCTCTACTAAGGTTTCAAAGTTCTCATCCAATAACTTGGCTAGAGCACAGGTGGAAATGTGACTAGAGGTTAACAAATTATGTACCCCTCTAGTATGGAACAACTGATATGTACACGTAGCTGCCTTTTATTCGTAATGATAACCACTTTCAGTAAAGATGACACACAACTTTCTTCATGCATCAGATCCTCAAGATTTCTTGGCCAACCTTTCTCTAATAAAATAATAACATTGGAGAAGGGTCGACAGATAAAGCTTTTCATTACGAATATGATTTCTTAAATATAGAAACTGTTCCTTCCAAGTTTCACCTGCAACTCCAATTAATGATTGGGTAGGTGTATCTATTCGTCACAAATCGTTGAGGTAAAAAGACATCTTGGCATTCTCAAGAGTCCCAGTAGTTATTTCTTTAGGAAAATTGAGGAACACAGCTTTCCCTTCTTTATTATAGCATGAAATGTTATCTTTGGTAATACAAACTTCAACCACCATGGTGTCTTTGATATCCTTTCGAAGTTGGTGCACTTTTTTCAAGAACTTTGAAGTTATCGAAAAGGACTCCATTACAAAAATGGATTTTTACCTTTTGAAGTCAAAATGGATCTTATTTATAATTACGAATGTCTTCTTTCACAAGGGGTAAAATATATCATTTTAACCTGTTATCATGCACAGTCTTTTTAAAGATCTTTTCGATTGATCCTGGTTTATCGGTACTGGCACGAATAGTCCTCAATTTGTACACTCTATTACCAAATACATTGCAGATATAATAAGGTCCTGTAAATCATTCTTCAAGCTTAGCACTGTATAACATTTCTAAGAAGGTTTCATGCAGCAAAACCTTGTCTCCAATCTGGTAAGTTTTCATCTTATACCTTTGATCATGGTATTCCTTCTGTTTTTGCTGAGAGTTTCTTACATTGATTCACACTTGTTGTCTAGCTAGGGTCAAGTTTCCCAATAACACCTCAATTCTTCTAAAAATCTGATCTTGACAATCTTCCTCCGTAACAGGTTCAGCAGAATATGTTGAAACTACAGTTTCAACTAGAAGTAATGTGTCCCATCCATACATCAGGTAGAAAGGTTCATATCAGGTTGTATTGTAGCATGTCATCCTATATGCAAACAAAGCCGCAAAGATAAATTCATCCTATTCTCTGTCATACTGTGCCACACATCAGGCTAGAACTTCACAGAGAGTTCTATTAAATCATTCTACCAACCCATTAGTCTGGGGATGGTAAGCTGTTGATGTTCTATGATGGGTTTTCTTTCTTTTACATAGGGAACTCACTAATTTATTACAAAAATGAGTTCCCTAGTCTGACAACAATTTATGGAAGCTTCCATGGCAACAAATGATGTCTTTAAAAATGAATATCAGCACAGATTCAGCATCTGCCCGTTCTAACGCATGTGCTTCAGGTCACTTAGTAAGATATTCAGTGGCTACAATGATATACTTCTTACCATCTGGGGTCACAGGAAGGGGACCAACAATATCTATCTCCATTTGATTAAAAAGTTGACCAATTCTAATCAGGTGGAGGGGCTCTCAGGTTTTCGGTTACTCTCTATGTTGGCAAGAGTCACATGATTCTATGTATCATTTTACATTATTACTCATCTGAGGCCAAAAGTAATGAACCATGACCTTTTAATAAGTAGTAGTCTTTCCAAAATGTTCTGCTAAGGGGTCCGAATGCATTGTATGCAATACAGCCTCTGTCTCATAGGGTCTTAATACTCTTAGAGACCATCATGGATTACGTAGATTATTCTTATATAGTAATCCATCTCTAATAGGGTAATAATAGGTTAAATGCTTCATTATCTTTTTGGTGCTATTTAGTGGAACCTTAGACCAGCTAAGGTAATTAACAAAATTTGTGTATATTTCTATTTCCATAAAAGTTTGTTGTGTCAATAAGGGATTTCTGAAAGAGGCATCCAGATATATTTGGGTAGGGTTTCTTAATTAATAGAGTTCTATACTAAATTCGGGATAGACTATTGGCATTTAAATAAAATTTTCTGAATTTGTGAATAGTGGTAAATGAGTATTCCTGCAAGGTTAGGATCCACCTGGTCAGTCGATTTTGGGGTAGTCGATGTGAAAATAACAATTTCAACGCCGAATGGTCTGTATAGAGGGTAAAATAGGTTCTATGCAAATAGATGCAGAAATAAGAGACCGCCCAAACTACTGCAAGCTACTCTTTTTTGGTAACAGCATAATTTCTTTCTGCTGCTGTTAAAGAGTGACTCGCATACACAATTACCCGTTCTCTTGCCTCTTCATCTGCTTGCGATAATATTGCCCCTAAAGTCAAGTTGGATGCATTTGTAAAAAGAATAAACAGTCAATTAAAGTCTGGATAAGCTAATATCAGGGCACTTATAAGTTTTCCCTTTAAATCCTTAAAAGCACTCTGATATTCAAGGATCCATCGATACTGGGCATTCTTTTTTATTAGGGCATTAAGGGGAACAGCAATGTCTGTGAATTTGGGGACGAAATGCCTGTAATAAGAAGCTAATCCTAAAAAGCCCCTTAATTGTCGTAGATTTTTGGGGACGGGAAATTCTTGAATGGCCTAAATTTTACCCTGATCAGTAGAAATTCCCTCCGAACTTACAATATATCCTAAAAATTTGAGTTGTTTCTTTGCAAAAAAACATTTTTGGGGTTTAAGTTTTAACCCAGCCTTTCTTAAACGATAGAACACTTTTTCTAAATGACTCAAGTGTTCTTCAAATGTTGCCGAATAAATATTAAGGTCATCTAGGTAGACGACTACAAATTTTCCAATGATGTCACAGAAAATATTATCCATCAACTGCTGGAAAGTTGCAGGAGTGTTTGCAAGACCAAACAGCATAACATTAACTTCAAACGTCCCATATGTAGTAATGAAAGCTGTTTTGTCCCGATCTTCTTCTAATACCTCCACTTTCCAGTATCCACTGGCTAGATCTAATGAAGTGAACCATGACAATTCATTCAAAATGTCCAAGAGTTCATCTACCCTAGGTAAAGGATAGTTATCCTTAATCGTAACAGCATTCAACTTCCTGTAGTCCACACAAAAGCACATTTTCTAAGCTTTCTGCTTAATGAGTACTACTGGTAATGACCAAGAACTACTAGAAGGTTGAATGATGTCTTCTTTTAACATAGAAGCAATTACTTCTTTAAGAAATTGCTTTTCAGCAGGCAAATACCTGTAAGGACGTTCTTTAATTGCCTACAGCCATAAGTAAGAATCTCATAGTAAGTTCAGCTTGTATGTCCTAGTTCTCCTAGATTTTGGGTGCAGAGATCGACATTCTCTACAAGGAGTTGGGTCAGTCATTGCTCTTGGTCTGCTTTCAATTCTTCTATCTGGTATTCGACCTCCGCTGGGGTTTCATTTTCATAGCAGTAATCAAAAAGATCTGCTATACATTGATCTTTTTCTTTTTGAACAACGTAACATGTAATCCCAGGTTGATCTATTCGTTGATCACCTAATTGTTCCTTTTCATGACAATCTTTCCTTACCTTATTGTTATCATATCCAGTATTATCGTCCTCTTCATCGAATTCAGATAGCGCATAAATCGATTTTTCTAATTCTTCTTCTTCATATTCGTCATCTACTTCTTCTTCGCCATCTTCATCTTCATCTATTATTTCCTTGACTACCACTGTCCTTTCCTTTTCTAATGAGGCCCTTGTCATTTTCCGAAACTTAACTGGCACCATAATCTCTTTACTATCCCAATAAATAGTCATCTCAGATGAGTTTCAGTTGATAGTAGCATTGACTTTTGCAAGCCAATCATTACCAACAATGGTGCAGTAAAAGGTAGCATCAGTCACAATAACATCGATAGGGATTTCTATTCCACCCACAGAAAAAGGGAAATTAGAAATCTCACCTATTGCTTGTTTACTTTTTCCATGAATATTAATCATATTCACTACCTATAGGTGTTCAATCCTTATACCAAGCTCTTGTAATAAATGGGAAGTGACAACACTTCCTGAGAATCTACTATCTACGATAAGTAGAATATCCTTATCATGGATCTTGGCATCACAGTACAATGCCGTCGATTTCAGGGTGGGCTGTAAATTAACATTACCCTGAACCTTCTTTTTTGTGACAGTTCTTTTCTTTTATAAAGAATAAGCTAATTTCTGGCACATATTTTGAGACGCTCGTAATAATTGTCTATAAGTGATATTAGCTGGTTTATCCCTAATATCAGTGACAATTGAATAAGGAGGAACCAAAGAGGAAATTTGGGCAATTCCTCTTCAATAAGTTTCCATCTTGGTCCAGTATTCTTCTTTTGTCGGACTTTAGAGGCTTTGTCATCCTTGTTCTCTTTCTTTTTCTCCCTAACAAAATCGGGTATTACTTTTTAAACATCATCATCTAAGTTCTCAATTTCGTTCCTATTATTCATGTCGGCATCTTGAGGTGGAATCTCTTCAGTTTCACCTAACCCTACAGTATCCTCTCTTCCCTCGACATTTTTCTTTTTCCGCAATAACACAGTATTCATGATAGGCTTTTTCCGTTCATGTCATTCTGCTGAAAGGAATAGAAGCTCATCTTTCTCATGTATCCCTAAGTATGTAGACTGGTTATTTTGGGGCCCGTTAGGGGTTGGATTATTCAACAATGTGAACAAGACCTGTAAGGTTTCTTGAATATTCATATTATTTGGATTATTTACAGATGGTTGTTGAACAGATGAATTAGGATTATTGTTATTATTATTCTGGAGATTAGGACACTGACGACTAATGTGTCCAGATCATTCGCACGTAAAACAGATTATCCCTGGATTCATGTTAGGACCGCCCTATTGTGATTACTGGGATCTTTTTTGATCTTGATACTGAGTCATCATTTTATTGATGGTCTCTGTTAGCTTAATTAAAGCCTCTTCTGTTTTATTATGGTTCGTTTGAGGGGCAACTGAACTACCAACCATTCTCTGTGATAAATATGTTGGATATCCTATAGGTTGAGCCATAAAAGCCATATGTGTCGGGTTGTTCCTATATGTATTTTCAAAGGCTTTTGCTCTAGCATAGGCATCTTCCAACGTGTTAGGGGTTAATAGAGACACTGCCATATAGAGTTCAGGACACAATCCATTGATAAACATTTGGGCCTTCGCAGTATTAGGATATTGGTGTCCTCCCAATTCGACTCTTTTAATCATCTTTTCAATGGATGTATGGTAAATATCAACGGTTTCTCCAAGTAATTGTTTCTGTTGAGTCAATTGAGCGAACCATTTGGCTTCCAATTCAGGTGTTCAAAATTTGGTGATAAAATTAGAAGTAAAGCTTGAAGCCAGAACATTGGGATCATGCCATCGATCAATAACAGGATGTTGTATCTTTCACATAATCCATCAATTCACTGCTGGTCACCTCAATTTTGGAACTATTACTAAAATCTTTTGATTATCAGGGACCATGTTTGCGTCAAATGCTTTCTTTATGTCTTCAAGCCATATAATTGGGTCTTGATCACCTCTATAGAAATCTTGGTAGGGGACGGTACTTAATTCTCAGTTGGTTCCAGGAATGTTTACTTGTACAGGTGATGCACCTTGCAATTGCTATACTAAAGCAGTGATCTGTGTTGCTAATGCTTGCATTGGTTCTTGAGCCATTTAAAATATTGATTATTCAATCTACACAATTGGCACCAAATGTTACTATTGTTTAGAAGAGCTATAGCAATATTTCATTCAATTTAACTCCAATAGTGAACTTAAATAAAGAGTTATTATGAATAGGGTAATATAGTACTATTAGTAGGGTGGCTTGTTCATATAGATTGGTAATTTAATAAGGATCAGTTAACTAATTTATGCAGGATCGGGTTACTAATCAATTTAAGTGATAGTTACACTTATGTAATAAATTTAATTTATCGGATCAATTTAATGACATCACTGATGTAATTAATAAAGGAGTAATTAATTTAAAGTTTATATATAATGATTATGATACTTTGAAATAATAAAAGAAATATAATGGATTTTTCAATATAAGAGTTATCAAACAGTTTTTATTAAGTAAATAAGTTTCTAACAACAAAAATTATATAACATTGAGCAATTGATTCTTCTATTTAACTATTTAAGACATTGAAAACTACTTTATTAAAGGCCCGAAGACCCTGCTTTTATACGTTACAAAGTAATAGAAGATATGATAATCGAATGTCGGATCTTTAAAACTGGCAGTTTTGCTCACTTATACTATTGCTACTTAGTTTTAGTGATCCATGATGTCATTACTAGAGAGTATTACAGGATCTGGGTATGGCTATACTAATTTGAGTATGATCATAAATTACAAAAACATAAGTATTTACAAATATAGAAAGTTTTATATACAATTATAGGGCTTGTACTGATTCTAAGTTTCACACAGCCCATCACACTGCCTAGTATCATACCTTCTTTACATTACTACCGTAACAGTATATATATATTGTGAACCTGATTTTTGGAATTATGAGCACCCAAATCAAGACGACAATCCATACCCGATTCCAGGTCATGCAAAAAGTAACAGAAATGTTACTTCTGTTACTTTTCTTACTTCTGTTACTTCTGTTACTTCTGTTACTTATGTGATAAATGAGATATTGACCTTTTATTAGATTTATTAAATATAATTAAGATATAAGAGATATTACATTTATGTTAGAAATTAATTACTAATGTAAACAAAATGTTTATTATAAATAAAGGGCCTTCTTGCCTTGGGGAAAAGAGGAGAATTATCCTATATACCAATAAATCCCCCAATAACACTAAATATTCGATACCTAATAAAAATATAAGTGTTACCCTATACAAACTAATAAACTATCATTAATCTCATCTCTAACATAATCGTTCATTCATAAACCACTGCAACCGCCTTTGGACATCTGCCTCAAGTCATGTGACCAAGCTGTTAATGCAAGAGAAGGATCCAACTCGATTCGACATATCGTAAGCCTGGGTTAAGTCATACAAGAGCAAAGAATAGAAGGCAAGGGTTAATAGAAGAACAGGTTGAAGGAAAGACTTAGAAGAGAAGAATAGTACTTACCTATGGATAAACTATCCAGCCAAATCTAACACGCCTATTACGACTTAGCTGCCATAGGTTACACGAGAATTGGATTAGAGTAGCAACCGAATCGCTGATTTCGGAATCACATTTGGTGATGACTGTGAGATCATACAATATCCTATCAACGAATCTTGAAGAGATCGGTTCAAGCAGCTGGGCTGCAAAATTAGAAGACCTGAAACATAAGACTCAAGAAAGATACTCCAGCCCGATTTGATGTACTGGCTGTGGAAAAAGAGAGAAATTAGTATAGTACTAATGAAGTGTGAAAAGCTGGGTTTAGAGAAAAAAAAAAAAGTTATCCAAAAAGAAGAGTGCCAACTCTGATTCAACGTAGTGTAATTTCAGGACGAGGCATCTGGTTTGAGGTCCAAGAGGAAGGCCCTAGCCATGGTTTTGTTATAGGGACAGTGAGTATAAGAGTTAGTGTGTTAGTGAGCCATATCAAAGGATTCGAGACAAAATAAAAAAAAAAAAAAAATAAAAAAAATATGCGCAATACTTACCTCCTGCCAACATTTAACCGACTCTGAAGAAAGGTTGAAGCCCGAACAAAAAAGACACCAATACTGCAAGTCTCAGAGAATTCACAACTGATTAGACAAAGATGCTGAAAGACTTGGTGTTTCTATTATAGAAAAGAAAACCATGATGTTAGTAATTGCCCAAAAATAAGAACAATGCAACTAGAAAGTTTAGATTTAGTGGATGCACTTACCGAAGAACAAGCCACAGAAGTCCATGAAATAGTTGATACAACCATGAGAAACTGAAGGTTTGATGACCCTCAAGCCCTGGAATGCTTCCTAAAAATATTAAAGGACGTTAGCTTGGATCACTCTTTAAAGACCCAAGAAGAACCTATTATATATCTACCCTCATATATTAAATCCCACTGAAGAAGATCAGCTATACCCATAAGAATCATTTCAAGTCCAGAAGTTCCCTCCATGCCATTCTGGTACCAGAAGGACCTGATTTCTGAATTGATAGACCTCTATCTTGATCCTGAAGTAGAGGTTAAAACCTTAATGTCGAAGTCCCCTTAGAAAGCTTAACTAATGGATATTTAGATGCACCAGAACTTGAAAAATCTGAACTCATCACCATGAATACTGTTGTCAAAATTGAATTAATATCGATAAGGGTGAACATAGAGCCTTCGGATACTGTCAAAAATCTGCAGAAATGAAGAATGCTGATGGAACCGAAATTGTAAAAGATAAAATCAATGGAATTGAAGTTGAAAAGACTGAACACAAACCTAGTAACCTAGTGAACAGCAGAAATGGCTTGAAAGATGAGCTAGAAGACTTGATCGACTGTTACCTGAAAATTCTAACGACCTGGATGCCTAAATCAAATATATTTGAAGAACTGAAACCTGCTGAAATGAAAGAATCTAAGGCATCTGATTATTACCAGAAATCACCCAAGGTAAATCACGTAGATAAAATAATTGAGAAAAAGGAAAATGAAGGACTTACTGGAAAGAAACCCACCAAAGCTAAAGGAAATGTGACGAATATTAGTAAATGTTGTCGAAGTTGAAAAGGATAGCCATGATGATGATGAAGATAACGACGATAATGGTGACAACAATGATGATGGTGATGATGATGACAATGAAATCAGAGTTGAAAAGGGTGAACATAAAGCCTTCAAATACTATCAACAATCTGCAGAAATGAGAAACACTGATGGAGCATATAACATTGGATATCATTATGAAAAAGGAATTGAAACTAAAAAGGAAGAATATAAGGCACCCTCTCATTATTAAAAATTTGACGATACGAAGATGAAAAGGAAGTGTTTAGAAGGCCTTTTAAGATCGCAGAAGAGAAATCCAAACCTGATAATGATGAAGCCAAAAATGGTGAAACTGATGAGAGTAATGACAATGATGATAACAGAAACAATGATGGAATCGGAGCTAAAAAGAATAACCAAAAAGCCTTCGAACATTGTCAAAAATCTACAGAGATAGTGAACACCAATAGAACTAGGAAAGTTGGACCTTGTTATCAAAATGGAATTGGAGTTGAAAAGGATGAACGTAAAACTTGTAGACCTTGTTATCGGAATAGAATTAATGCTGAGAAGGATAAAAAAAATGCGTTCGAATACTTTCAGAAAGCCGCAAACATGGGTCATGCCAAAGGAACATGTAGTGTTAGTATTTGTCATGAAAATGGAATTGAAGTTGAAAAGGATAGCCACAATAATAATGACAATAGTGATAACTATAATAACGGAGATAACAACAATAATGGTGACAATGTTAATAATGGTGATGATGACGATGACAATATAATCTGTGATGAAGACAACAATAGACTTGAGATTGAAAAGGATACAAGCCAGGAACCAACGAATAATCCACCTTCTAAACTTGAGAGGTTCAAAGCAGCAAATTATCGACTGCATTATGAGCTTGAACCACCTAACCTTCGAATAATCTGTGAAAGATGGATAAATAAAGTGAGTAAGCACAGAATGATGTACAAAGAAGAAGTGAAAAAAGAAGTATCATACCTTCCTGAACTTGAGGCACCAATGAACTGATTTAGAAGTGAAAAACTGAAAGCAAGGAGAATTGGAAAGGTTATCGAATGTGTAGAGGAACTGAATGTGGAAAGAAATAGATCATGTGGGCAGAAACTGAAGCTGAGCCAAAATTGTAAAATAGTAAGTCTGAAGACTGATGTTGAATTTGGTGGACTAGAAGGAAAGTCATGGGAATTAGAAAAAGAAAAGCGAAACAAAAGCAAAAATAGTCAGAAAGCATTAGTTAAACCCACCCTCCAAAAGAAGCTAATGCCAAAAGATCCTGAACTGATACCACCCAAAAGGAAGCTATCACCAGAAAAGAAGATTGATGAAATCGAAATAATACCAATCGAATCAGAGCCACCACCAAGAAAGGAAGTCGATGACATAGTAAGAAAATCTAAAGAGAATAATAAGCAAAAAATGAATGTTAGTAAAATGGATCAAAAACAAGAAGACAACGAATGGAAAGAAACTTATCGCCTTATGAAGAACCTCAGCACAAAAGCATTGATACACAAGGATTATAAGTTTCCTATTTATGCATGGTACGCATAAACTAAGTGAAGGAGAAATGTTAGCTCGATTTTTGGGATCATGGGCACCCGAATCGAGATGACGATCCATACCCGATCCCAGGTCACATGAAAAGTAACAGAAATGTTACTTCTGTTACTTTTCTTACTTCTGTTATTTCTGTTACTTATGTAATAAATGAGATATCAACTTTTTATTAGATTTATTAAATATAATTAAGATATAAGGGATATTACATTTATGTTAGAAATTAATTACCAATGTAAACAAAATGTTTATTATAAATAAAGGACCTTCTTGTCTTAGAGAAAAGAGGAGAATCGTCCTATATACCAATAAATTCCCCAATAAAACTAAATATCCAATACCTAATAAAAGTATAAGTATTACTCTATACAAACTAATAAACTATCATTAATCCCATCCCTAACATAATCATTCGTTCATAAACCACTGCAACCACCTTTGGACATTCGCCGCAAGTCACGTGACCAAGCCATTAACGCAAGAGAAGGATCCAACTCTGATTTGACATATCATAAGCCTGGGTTAAGTCATACAAGAGCAGAGAATAGAAGGCAAGTGTTAATAGAAGAACAGATTGAAGAAAAGACTTTAAAGAGAAGAATAGTACTTACCTATGGATAAACCACTCAGCCAAATCTAACATGCCTATTTTGACTTAGCCGCCATAGGTTACGCGAGAATTGGATTAGAGTAGCAACCGAATCACTGATTTCTGAATCACAATATATATAAAGTTTTCTTATGTATTAACATTCTTTATAACTTAGAAATCTCTTATCTATTGTTAAAAAAAAGACATATGTATTGTTAGTTTTCTTTAAATAACTTAGCTATATTTAACAATTTAGTAAATAATTCTATAGTCACACTTTATGTAGAAATTTCACCTTCTAGGACCTTCTAAATAAGGTATTTTTAAGTGCAGAATTATTTTGCATAGTTACTATTGGCACTTCTTCAAAGATAGTAATTAACTTTATTTTTTATTTGTGAAATATTACATTCTTAAAAAGTACTTTAAAACTGTATAAATACAATTGTAAGTGATTGACCAATCTGAAGAAAGTTATTCTATATTGTGTGTCTCCAGGATGTTGTATAACAAAACAAATGTAAATACTATAATGCTTTAAGTAAAAGTTTTTAAAGAAATTTTAAATACTAATATCCCATTAGTAATTGTAAAAATCATTTCATTAGATACTGTAATAAAATTTACTAAAAACTATCAAACTGTAGCAAATTTTAAAGTGATGAAGGTCGAGTGAAAGATCTTTTATT